ACCACAAGACTTGAATCGATCTTCAAGAAAAAGAGAAAGGATCCCTTCAATCATTGAGCGCCAAGGTGAAGCTCCCTGTGGGGCCCGCAAACAGAATTCTCCAATTGATTAGGGTTTTGGGCAAAAAAACTCCAGGGATTGTTAGAATGATGACCAAGACAGCATCCTTTTCTCCAAAAATCCACTAACAACTGGGCTGAAAATTTTCTTCAATCAATCATTCGATTCATCTCTCCATACACACTGAGTATGGGAAAAAAGAGAGAAAAAAAAAAGGAAAAGAGAGCCCGCTCTGATACCAAGAAGAAAAACAGTCCTAAGGATTGAAGGGACTGATTTAAAAGATGTTAGATATCAGCCGAAAAGAGAAAAGGAGAGGAGAGAAGAAGAAGAAGTTGGCGGCAAATAGGATTTAGAGAGAAGACTGGCAAATATTTTCTCTCTTCCCTAATCCTTTTCATTAAAACATAATTTACAAGTTTTGATATTTACAGAGAGGCCCTTAATTGGGCAATTAACTTAATTAAGCATAAGTGCATAACATAAAAAAGACCCATTAACAACGTAAACAAAAACATAAACAAATAAAAGCATCCTATGGGCCATTTGGCCCATTCTCTCTACAAGGTATTTACTCTCATCCCCTCTCATTAAATCCTATATTTACTGTTGTTAATTCCCATTCTCTCTCCTTAGATCCTTTATTTTAAGTATTTTTGTTTCTCACCAATAAATTCTACTAATTAAATATATACCCAACATGAAAATTAAACTGTCTGTTAGCCCATGTAGTAGGTACGTAGTTCAACTATCTAGGTCAAATGGGTCACCAATGGTCTCATAGTTAAACAATAAAGGTTTAAAAAAAATAAAAATGTAAAAATTACAAAAAAAAATAGGCACATCTCTAAAATTATATATTTATCATGTTAAAATTTAAAACTGACCTAAAAATGAAACCATTTTCCTATTCAAGCGGTGGGGCAATGGTTTAACCTTTTAGGTGAAATCAACCACCCACATTGTCATAATTAAATAACAAAAATTTTAAAATATAAACACAGAAAATTATTAAAAAAATACAAAAAAAAATTGTAGTAAACATTTGAGTACATCTCTAGTATTATGTATGTCATCATATTAAACAAAAATAAGAGTTACTTTTATTAGTGATGGAAATAAAAGAAAATTTTAAACAAACACAAAAAGGAAAGTATTTTTCCATCTAATTGGTGGTCAATGACCCATACGAGTGCAAATTGGGTAGGCTCAATCTGAGCCTAGACCAACCCAGCTTGAAATTTTAGACAATCTAGCTTGGATTTTTTGTCCTTGGGTTGGGCTTAGGCCCACACCCAAAAGTTTGGGCTTCTATTTTTCAAGCTGCAACCAAGCCTAGCTTTAAATAGAACAGATTGGCAAAACAGGATTTATGTAGCTGACCCCATATAGTTGGGATAAGGCATGGATGATGATGATGACCCAAGCCTAGCTTTAGGTAGCTTGAGCCTTGCCTAACTACATACATATTTGCATACATGGATACATGCACACATACATTTATGTCAAATTTTAGCATGGGGATGATATATCAATTCAAGCATGAGCCCAACCTGAGTGCATCAAATTTCAATTCGGGCTGGGCCCAAGTTGGACAGATCAAGCTTGACCTTGGGCTCAAGCCTTAGGCCTAATGCATAGGGTTGGGGGCCTAGGTTAAGCACAAACTCAGCCCAACTTGCACAACTTGCACCCTAATGGTCCAATCATTTGGGTAAAATGGGTCAACCAATGATGTCATAATTAAATAATAAAAAATATAAAATAGATAGAATTACAAAAACAAAAATATAGAAATTTTTTGACATATCTCAAATACTATAAATGTGTCATATTAAACAAAGATAAGTGTGATAAATAAGAATTTTTTTACAATTAATTGTGGAAATGGAATAGAAAATATAAAATTTCCCAAAAGTGAGATTGTTTTCTCTTTCAAGTCAAATAGGTGAACACATGATGTCATAATTATATAATAAAAACTCAAAAATAGTAGAAATAAAAAATTATAGAAAATACAGAATATCGTCAAAAAATTGTACACTTCTCTAATATTATATGTTTATCATATTAAACAAAATTAAACATGATAAATAAGAAATATTTTTATTAACAATTGAAATAAAATACAAGATTTAAATCTACCGGCACACCATGCTTTAATTACTTATCTTTTTTAATGGGTTTTGATAAGGATATTGAAATTATTATTGTTATCTGAAATTGTCGCATGCAACACACATGCACATTTACTAGTAGGCTTACAAATAGATAAACCATATATAAGAAAGAACTATACATCCAGGGCAATCAATAGAACCCAAAAGACCCTGTACACCCACCCGACATTTACATCTAAAATAAATCAAAAGAAAATGATGTTGAAAAGAAATAGAGGGGTCTGACAAGAGAGCCAAAGCCCAACAAAAAAACTGTTGCTGAAACAACCCTGAGAATTTTATCATCTTGGGAAAATTTCTGGTCAAAGAGCCTCCTATTTCTCTCCTTTCAGATTCTACAAAGCACTGCAACAGAAATGAGCTTCCATATTTTCCTTCCTCTGCTGCTTAGGCCATTAATCATGCAGTCTTCAAGCAACTCAGATAAAGATTGAGGGCACACAGCCCACATTTAAAAGGTTCAAGAAAAAAAAATTTCACACTCTCCAGATTGGCTGGCAATGGACAAAGAGATGGCTGTTGCTCTCCTCCTTCTCAAAGCAGAAAACACACCTCGAGTCACCAACGGAAATTTCTCTTATCCCCAAGTTCTCCCTTGTGAGACACTTTCCTGACACTGCTGTCCACCAGGCCACCTTTGAAGGTACACTACTGACCCAAACAAAGTTGTGAGGGAACTGCAAATTAGAGCCTTGAGACAACATTTCACCAAGAATAAACCAGACTTCACCCCTTTCCAGTTTCCGATGTCCTGACTTCTAAGGTTGGGTAAAAGATTCTGTAACAAAGCAAGTAAGTTCTCCACCACCAGCTTCCAATCAACATTAGAGAGCACATAATAGTCTGAGACTATGCAACACTTATCTTCAGCCACTGAAAACAAGTTTGGAAGGAAAAGGCACTGCAATGGTCTTTCATTTGCCCAAGGCTCCAACCAGAATCAAATATTGGACCCACAACCCAGCTTGAATTTTATACCCACCATAAATAACTCCCAGCTCCTCTCTATTCCCTTCCAAATAGACCAGGATCCCATGTCCCTTCTCTAAGGCCAAATTTTGACAGCCAAACAAGATCTCCACCAACTATTTTCCTCATCACAGAAGTACAGAACCTCTAGAACCAATTGGGGAGCAAGGCTTTATTCATCACGCTGACCTTCCTTAACCCCAGGGCGCTTCAAACTTCAAGGAGCACACCAAGTCCCACCCACCAAATGAATTTTTTCCTGATCCTTCCTCCCCATTCTAGTCACTTCACTAGGAGGTTAGCCAACACACTCTTGATAAAGTAACCTTCCCCCTTTAAATAAGTACTCAGATTTCCATGTGATCAATTTCCTTTCTAACCTTTCAACAACAGGGTCCCGAATTGACTTTGCACTACATTTAGCCCCCAAGGGCTAAGCCAAGATATATGACTGGGAGGGAAGCCACCTCACAGCCCAAAATATTCACCAGTTGGTTGATGTTATCCACCTTACCAACGGGGATGACAGAGCTCTCTCTCAAATTTATGCTCAGTGTAGAAATAACTTCAAACCAGTGGGGCAACCCCAACAAATACAGAACCCTGATCTGGGTTGAAAACTTGACATTAAAGAAAAACAGAGCTTCATCATTGAATATTAAATACATTAAGTACTAAACGAAGACATAATTTGAACAACATTTTCCAACAATATTGTCATTGACCATGAAGTCCCAAATTGCACAACAGAATTACCCACTTGACATGCATGTTGCATGTAAAATCCAAGAGAGAGTGAGTGATTGATAATACCCAGGGTGGTGTAGAGACAATACAATACAACATTTATTGCATTATATTACATATATAGAGTATAAGATATATTATATGTCATATCATATTATATAAAAAGTCTAATATCTTTTGCATAGTATAATATATAATGTCTATTATATTATATATTACCTATACTACTAAGATATATTATACAGTAGAATATATTATATAATATAAAATATTATATGATAATGTGTTTATAGTTGTCCATTCTTCTGACTTCTAAAAAATCCTCTTAAATTCGTAGAGGTGACCTCCCCTTTTAAGTACATTAAGTACCAAATAAAGAGGTCATTGGAGGGGTTTTCAAAATTCTCACTAATTCACTATGAAACTATGAAACCAATCAACAGTAACAAACTTTTAAAAGCAACTGATATTGTTTGACAGAAATTCATATTACAAAGGCGTTGGTCAACTCTCCTTTGCAATGCTAATGTGCTCCCAAAAGTAACTAATAACTTAATAGGTCAAAATGGAAAAAAAAAATTGTGATTAACAACCAAAAAATGTATTGATAAATCTACTAATTAATTGCTATTTCTAAGCATATTCATCAATGCAGAGATCAATTGTGGTTCTGCCCAGCATTCTCTTTCCCTACTCATGAAGTATATTAAGGGCATTGTCTAGTATTTCTTTGACTTTTTTTGGATAAGTAGTACTCCTTTGACTTTTTAGTAATGATTATATGGTGTTTGATATGTCAACATAGTATAAAAAGACACAAGACCTCAATCATGTCTGATTTTTTATGTCTAGCCATCATCTGCTTCACATCGCCACCTGCAGATCTGACTAATGTATGGGTTATCAAATGGGCAAGAATAACGAGTCACTTATTAAGAACAACTATAATCTAATATGCAAACATGCAATGGGCACTTGATAACTATCACAATCAAATACTCAACAGTGGAACAGGCATTTGTAAGGCATGCTTTCTGAGAAAACCTTCTGCACAAGATGCGTGGTTTTGTCCTTTTGAATTTCAGCAACAACCCCCTTAATATCCATTCCTGCATTTTCCATGAATGATCACTCTCAAATCTTACCCAGCACCCAAAAAGACAAAATCATATGAAATTTTTTAAAAGGGTAAAATACAGAGAGCTACCTGTACTTTCAGATTTCAACACTCTGCTCCCACCATTAGCATTCTGTCAGTTTTGAACTTTAATGAGACCATTTTTTCCTCTCCTTGATTGCATTTGCAAAACCCAAGTTTTGAACCTTTCCTATCTTCTTTCCTTTTTTTTCTTTTCATTTGTTTAAGAAAGAGACAGGGAGAGTTGAAAGATAGGAAATGTTCAAATTTTCCGTTTTGGAGATGCAATAAAGGAGAGGGAGAAATTGTCTCATAAACGTTCAAAACTGACAGAATGCTAATGGTGGCAGCAGAGTGTTGGAATCTGAAAGTACATGATAGCTCTCTGTCTCAAGTGAAAGTTCGGGGACCTAGGTGTCACTACCCTCAAAGTACAGGGTAGTTCTCTGTATTTTACCCTTATTAAAATGTAACTCAAAACTAAAATTACACACCTAGAGGAAGCAGTAACTGCAACAGAAAGAACACCTTGTTTCTTTTGCTTCTTTACTTTTATTTTTTTGCGTGGGGAGGGGGTTTACCTGCTGAGAAGGCACGAGGTGAACTGCTTTCTACCAGAACGCATTTGACTCTCGGATCTGTTTCCCATTCATCAAGATAATTTTTGTATTTTGTGTCCATATCTGCATTACAAATCAGCTACATGTTAATAACAACTACAACTCAATTTCCAAACAAAAGCAACTCATATACGATAACGTTCTAACACCATAGTTCCACCAAAATCCTGGTGGCAGTAGCTACTCCATCACAAACGAGAGAGAAAGAGAGAGAGAGCTAACTACTAAGGAAGAATCTGGTTTTCCGTTAATTTATCTAAACAATTAAGGAATTTATTCAACCTGGACTCTGAAAATAATAACACCGAACTATATCTCTGAACTCCACACGAACTAAACAACAATATTTCCTCTCAGAGTACTCATAAGTCAATTTTCACGAAGCAAAATATTAACTAAGAAGTTAATTTCTTTATGCTCATGCACAAAATTAACACAGATTAAGCATTTCAATGTCTGACCCAAGTACCTAACCAAAAACAAAATTCATCCCTGAGTACACTTCCATGGACAATCCAATTACATCCACGATAGGTCGATGAGTCAATTAATACTTAAATAGATTTCAGGTAAAGAAGGGATGCAAAGATAGACAGAAAAACAAGTACCAAGATTCATGGCATTGAGAGCTTTGGGGCGGTCGAGGGTGATAACAGCGACTCCATTGGGGAATACATTTCCCTTCACAAAATCTTCGTTTCCAGCCATGATCGCAAGGGTTCGTCCAGACCAAAAGGTTTGAAATCTTTCGCAGGGACTCAAACGGCGGAAATTGACAATTCTCGAGGTGGGGTTTCGATTGGATAAAGGATTTGCAGACCAAACAGAGGATGCGTTGAATAGCCGAGCGTAAGAGAGTATAGTACGCATGGTCGCATAGAGCCTGGCGAGTGGTAGTCTTCAACGAACGTACAAATCAAACGAGTCATTTGCTCGGTTTTTTTCATTTTTACCATTTTAACCCCCAAAATTTAACGTCAATAAATTACACTTCATAAGTGCTTTTTTTTTTAAGGCCACTTCATGAGTGCTTCACTTCTTTGTATCATGCTTGTTTTACATTTTGCCCCAGCTTTTTTTGCAAATTGCAATACAAATTCATTTGCACTGGTGAAAAAACATTGAATGCAAATTCTGATTTAGTTTTGATTTAAATTTTTCTTTCATTTGTTTGTTTGCAATTTAGGTTTTGCACTCTATAGCTTTACATATTTGTCTTTGTGCTCTTTCTAAGCTGAGAAAATAGAACAAAATAAAATTTTAAACAATGTAAGATAAACATTAAGCAAAAAAAAAATCAGAATTTATCCTCTATTAAGTTGCATTCCCCTGCATTTTATATTAATGCGAATGAAATTGCATTGTAAAGAAATGGCTAAATAAATATTCTCTGAGAAGGGGTATAAATACAAATATGTAGAGTGCAAAACTTTGTATTTTATATTATTTTGTGTATTTGTATTATACATATTTGTATTTGTACTTTTCCAATTTGATCTCTAGAAACATTTTCTCGGAAGTCCGTGCAACAATGGACTATTTTCTCAAAAACGGTTATGTATTTTGTTTGACAATGTTGTTGCCACTTAAGCAATATACATTTGCTTTACTAGTAAGCATGCGCATAGCAATTATAAATGATGATAACGATATTAATAATGTATCAAACAATTTCTATAAATATGTGTTTTTTAATCATTGAAAGTTTCAAATCTAATTACATAAACACCTCATCCAAATATGTGATCATCGAATCGAGTTGTTAAGTTTCAAGTATCATTGATAAGTCTACCTACTTGGATAGATTCTTCTTTTTATAATGTTTTATCTTTTTGGTGTATCTTTTTTTTTTTGTTTATTTATCAAAAAATGTAGGATTTAAATAGAAGGAACTGAATGGGGTGAAAACCCCGAGCTTGGAACTTCGTCAACCTGGAGGGTAGGCAAATACCCCGAGCTTGGAACATCGTCAACCTGGAGGATAGGCAAATACCCCGAGCTTGGAACATCGTCAACCTAAGGAGATATTACCTATAAATTACCGAACTGGGCGAATTGTAAGCCGCTCCCAAGAGCCTAAGGGCCAGAATGCCGAAGTAACAAAGACCTCGACACCACATGACCCGGGGTGTAAAGCTCGCTCCAAGACAGGCAGAGAACAGATCGGGCATATAGCCTTACTATGTCAACTCGCCTCAAAAAATCCCCTCGTCTCGGGGACCTAACTCTATGCAGATCGGCAATATAATCACTTCGGMAAAAAAGAAATAGTTGCACAACACTTGGGCAGAAAAAGGTACTTCATTACTACATTTTGCTTTACAGTGTTCAAAAAAAAAAAAAGGAAAATGAGCTCATAGGCCCGGTATACATCACTTCGGGGCTGCATTCCCCTCGCCCTCAGAAGGGACCTCAGCAACGCTCAGGGGGTCAGCCTCATCGTTAGAATCTGGATCTTCATCAGCCGCAGCAGCCATCTCCGGAGTAATATGCGAGGTGGTGATAGCACGAGTGTCAAGTTCGGGGTAGGCGTGCCTTATCATCCACCAGCTCAGTTCCCCTCCGGTATGAGCCCACCATCAGGTCATCGAAGCGCTTCGGCCTATGTAATCGTCGACGGCCTTCACCTTGGTATCCTCAAGGGCCTGGAAGAATATCTCAGACTTCTCCTTGATGTCGGCCTTGAGGTACTCCACCTCGTGCTCCAGGCTACATTTCGAGGTCGCGAGGTGCTTCACGACGAGCCTCAGAGCGCCATTCTCCCTCCAGAGTCTCTCCAGTTCACTCTTCTGAGCTGAAGCTTCACCCTCAAGGCGATGGACCCGCTCCCGAACTGATCCCAGAGCCTCTTCAGAAGTCTGTGCCCGCTCCCGAGCTGACCCCAGAGCCTCTTCAGCAGCTTGTGCCCGCTTCAGGTTCCTCTCTAACTGAATTATCAGGGTGTGAATAGAGGAGTTCGCCTGCCAAGCAAAGAGTCAGTTCGGCAAGAAAGTAAAAGAGTGAATGGAAAAATCACTAAGGGAAGACTTCGACAACTTACCACCATGACGTGAGACGTTGCACGTGCGCCAATGTGACCGGGAGGGAGCTCAGACCATTCCGTGACCTCGCTCGGGTAAACAGCCTTCTTGCTCTTGCGAAGAGCACAACTCGGGGTCAGCACACTGCCAACCCCCTCTTGGCTCCTCGAGCTGGAAAACACAGTTGGGGTTCGAGAAGCCTCTGTAGTCTCAGCTTCTCGAGCCTCCGCGACGCCGGGCTCCGCTGCCATCTCGAGGATAGGCCCCGCCGCCTCGGGTTCCCTAGGAGAGTCCAGGTTGATGATCAGAGGCTGGCTCGGGACTTCGGGCTCCATGGCCCGAGGAGACTCCACGCGAGCTCGCTTGGTGGCCCGCTTCCTTCTCTTCATTCCGGCGAGTAAGTTGGCACCATGGGTCTTCTCTGCTTCCATAATACCTGCAAAAGGAGCTCGGCATCAGTACAAAAAAAAAGACTAAGTAAAGAAGCCTACCCGGAATCAGACCGGCCTAAATGATCTTGGCTTCCAAGAGGTACTCTTCGCACTCGAGCCCGACCTGGGCCCAAGACTGAAAGGTCTCCGCCATGTCTTTATCCAACATGATGCCGGGGTTAGGGACAACTGCCCTCCATTGAGTAGGAAACAGCCACCCCGTAGCACTTCAAACATGAAAGAGTCCTGCTTCCACGCCGGGAATTTGTTTGGAAGTTTGTGAAGAAGTTTGAATCCCGGGCAAGGTGACAGGTAGTAAGCCCGCCTGTGCTCGGGAAGGTAGCTCGCTTGTTTCTTAAGCATGAGAAGAGCGGAAAAAATTTCTAAGTCCAAGGGGATGACATACTCGCAACAGAGGGATATAGTCCCGACAATGTTACAAATAGAGTTCGGATGAAGCTGACCGACTGAGACGCCGAAGTGGTTCAAGACTTCGACGATTAAGGGGTGAAGAGGAAGGCGCAGCCCAGCAATGAGCTGCTCTCGAAAGACCACGATCTCATATGGACCATGCTCCCAGGGGAAGTTGCCCGAAGGTAAGCTATATGCATACTCCCCAGGCAGGTTGAACTGACGAACAAGGGACCGAAGTCTCTTAGACATCATAGTGGAAGGTCCGAACATGACCTCGCTTGGGTAAACGGCCTTCTTGCTCTTGCGAAGAGCACAGCTCGGGGTCAGCACACTGCCAACCCCCTCTTGGCTCCCCGAGCTGGAAAACACAGTTGGGGTTCGAGAAGCCTCTGTAGTCTCAGCTTCCCGAGCCTCCGCGACGCCGGGCTTCGCTACCATCTCGGGGATAGGCCCCACCGCCTCGGGTTCCCTAGGAGAGTCCAGGTTGATGATCGGAGGCTGGCTCAAGACTTCAGGCTCCATGGCCCGAGGAGACTCCACGCGAGCTCGCTTGGTGACCCGCTTCCTTCTCTTCATTCCGGTGAGTTAGTTGGCACCGTGGGTCTTCTCTGCTTCCATAATACCTGCAAAAAGAGCTCGACATCAGTACCAAAAAAAAAAGACTAAGTAAAGAAGCCTACCCGGAATTAGACCGGCCTGAAT